TAAAATATTTTATAAAAGAGTAAAACGTTTTCTAAAAAGAGTAAAATATTTTTTAAAAGAGTAAAACGTTTACTAAAAAGAGTAAAATATTTTATAAAAGAGTAAAACGTTTTCTAAAAAGAGTAAAATATTTTTTAAAAGAGTAAAACGTTTACTAAAAAAGAGTAAAATATTTTATAAAAAGAGTAAAACGTTTACTAAAAAGAGTAAAATATTTTATAAAAAGAGTAAAACGTTTACTAAAAAGAGTAAAATATCTTATAAAAGGAGTAAAATATTTTATAAAAGGAGTAAAAAGATTTGTTGATTGAAATCTTTCTACTGTGATGAAAACATTGAAGTTATTGATTAATCTGTAAAGAATTATCATCATAACTTGACAGATTCATTGTGAAAAAAAGGATGTTGTTTTGATGAAGTGTATCAAGAAGATGAAGCCTTACATGAATGGATTCTTCTTCTTTAGGGTTAGACGATGAAAAATCCAATTTTTGAATGAGCTTCAACTTCATGGGTTACTCGAAACAAAAGTTGGAAAATGTTCGCCAAAAGAACTTTATAAACTAGAAATAAATTAACGTCAAGAAATGTTGATAGTTTGTTTTAATTCCGAATAACGTCAACTGATACTTCGAAACTGTTATTCATTAGTACTTTTTATTAAAGAAAACCACCACAGATGTTGTTGTGATATCTGAAGTACATGGTGTGTACATCTATATTCTATTCTGGTAATGACGTTTCGTACATGATGTGTAAATCTACATTCTATTCTGGTAATGACGTTTCGTACATGATGTGTAAATCTACATTCTATTCTGGTAATGACGTTTCGTTAAATTTCACTGTTTTCTTACCTTCCAGATTCCGACTGGTTTCGGTTGCCAGAGATTGGCGAAGGATTTAAAACAGCCTGTTGACTTGTCGAACAAGGACCTGTTGATTCAAGGGGAACTTCTCTACACCATGTTAAACCACACAAATACGCCTTACAGCTACGCTACGACGTTTTTTGTAATTAAAATATTCGTTTTTCTGTTAAAGTCAACATTAGTAATGATAGGAAAAACACATTGGTTTAAGAGATCAATTTAGCACAAAGATACAAAACCCTATAACCCGAAGACTTTCTACAGATGGACCTTTTTTCGTCAGTTTATCCCTGATTACAAAAGATCCACCTTTAAAAAGCTTTAGAGATTTTTTGTACTTACGATCTATTAGCTATCGTTCAAATATGCAATCTAATTTCTAATATTTTTATTCTAAGCTTAAAACCACTTTTTTAACAGCTTTAGACCACATTAGGTGGTCTATCAGTAAGTTCTTTTAACAGTCAACATTACTATCTCACAGCTTTCAATGTAACGTCCTTATATCAGTCAACATTCCTATGTCATAACTTTCAATGTAACGTCTTTTTATCAGTCAACATTTTTATCTTACAACTTTCAATGTAACGTCCTTATATCAGTCAACATTCCTATGTCATAACTTTCAATGTAACGTCTTTTTATTAGTCAACATTTTTATCTTTCAACTATCAATGTAACGTCCTTATATCAGTCAACATTCCTATGTCATAACTTTCAATGTAACGTCTTTTTACCAGTCAACATTTCTATCTCACAACTTTCAATGTAACGCCCTTTTATCAGTCAACATTCCTATGTCATAACTTTCAATGTAACGTCCTTTTAACAGTCAACATTCCAATGTCATAACTTTCAATGTAACGTCCTTATATCAATCAACATTTCTATCTCATAACTTTCAATGTAACGTCCTTTTAACAGTCAACATTCCTATGTCACAACTTTCAATGTAACGTCCTTTTAACAATCAGCGTTCCTATGTCATAACTTTCAATGTACATCGGTTGATTTTTCAGGATGTTACGAACTAGAGTTTAAAGAAAACTGTGTTAAACCGTTCTTGCTGGAATTGTCAGTTCGATCAGAAGACGAGACTTATATTCGTGTACGACGTATTTGGACAAGTAAAAAAAAATACCATCTAAATATTTTCTTATCTTCAGAAAGCAGCAATAAAGATGACAAGAAGATGAATATTTTCCAATGAAGATGACGAGAATCAATCAAATCATCTTAAACAGCCGAGTTTCTTGGTTATTGGATATTTTTCAATGTATTAAAAAAAACCAACGTATTTTTATCGTATAGTAGGCTTAGATTTTCAATACCATAATATGTGTATAGAGCTAATGAAAGAGGCTACTATATTGAACTAAACACAAGTACATAATAACATCCCATTATTTCTGTTTTAAATCTAAAACTTTAAGTGATTACGTATGCATAATATATATATATATATATGTAAATTATGTAAATAATATTTGAAACAATCATTCATTTTATAAGACACGTGTTACTTACAGCTATTCTCGGTATTTGAGGATAGTTACATTTTCACCCTAAGATTGTTGTAGTATCACTACGCCACGAGTGAAGGAGACGTTTCTAATCTTTCAAGTGATGTCTAGATGAAACACCTACTGAACGTTTACTCGAAATTAAATTAAAATATATTAAATTAAATAATATATCTCTTCCAGGTGGCGTACGACCAGAAGTCTGGCCATCTAGCTCATTTCTACAACCGATGGGAAAAGAACACCTCATCTGATCCAGTTCCTGTACAATCAAGTCTTATCGACGTGTATGGCTACAAAGACAGTGAGATGTTCTTGGATTTTCTATCTCGACTTTTAACGTAGTTTTATGTTTTGTAATCTTGTTTCAAGTTTCGTACAAAATGAAGTTTTGAGTAAATGGGCCAATCGTTGTGTTCATCCGCTTGTTTTTTTTTGGAGCAATTCTTGTCAAAAATTTCATAACTTCAGAAACTTTTCACGAAATGTGCTTGTTATAATACAGTATAGACCAAAAAGTTTCATGTTTTGTATAATTCGTTCATTATTGTTTCTTCGCCTTTCTGAATTCTTGGTAGCACTGTGTTGTTACCTTTAAGTTCGAATACGTCCCGAAGCTATGTTGTAAGCAAAATTAGAGATAAAAACCCGATGAAAAGAACCACACATTCTGTTATATCCCCCCACCCCCTTATTGGCCACGAGGTTGATTTTTCCATGATGCTTTCCTGACTCATCACATGAAGATGTTTGAAGATCTGACTTTATTTGTCGTTATTCAAACAGTTTTCAAGATTCGTGCCTAATATCTCTCATATTTTTCGTTTGTAGAAGTGTTATATACAATCAACCAGGACTACGGTAACTGTTCCATGACAAGGACCACCACATATGTACCAAAAGTCTACATGCCCTTTGGGAAAGAGCTTGTTTTGACTAGTCCAGAATTTTTGGGCAGCAACGAGGGATTTCATTATTTTGGAGAGGTTCGTGTGTTTTGCTTTGTTTAGGAGTTAAGGCTTTAACTCGTGCTCGTGTTACGTTTTGTTTTAGCTTTAACCCAGATTCGTGTGGTATGTTTTGTTTAGGAGTTAAAGCTTTAATTCAGGTTCGTGTGTTACGTTTTGTTTAGGAGTTAAAGTTTTAACCCAGATTCGTGTGGTATGTTTTATGGAGTTAAAGTTTCATCTCAGGCTCGTGTGGTATGTTTTTATGGAGTTAAAGTTTTAACTCAGGTTCGTGTGTTACGTTTAGTTTCGGAGTTAAAGCTTTAATTCAGGTTCGTGTGTTACGTTTTGTTCAGGAATTAAAGTTTTAACCCAGATTCATGTGTTATATCGGATATTTTTAAAATATTTCCAGGCAAGAGAGTTAGTTTACTTCTAGTGGCCAGAGATGTCACAACAGTAATTTCAAATTTTGGTTTACACCTGGATTGAAATATACATGTTTGATGTTTAAGACTCATAACGTAGATAAATTAATATGTAGAACTATACACGGACTTTTATCTATATTAGAATATTTTTATTTGTGAGCTTTCATCGGAAAACAACGTACCTACATGACATTGTAGGTTTATTGATTAGGAAATGATGAATTATGAGTTTTATTCTGGTATTCGATGTTTTATATATTTTGAATCTTGAGATAATATAATATAGAATGTTAAGCCAGCCTTCACAGATATTAATACAAACTTCAGTGTTTTAATTTGAATTTGTATTTTAATCTAAATTTAGAGTGAAGAACGTAACATTCCTGTGTCAGTGTTTGAAAAAAAGGTGGAGGGTTTTTCACTCGGACCTGGTACGAAGTATCCTTACGCCGTAATCACACGTTATTACACTAACGTAAGTATAATTTAGAGGTAAGCAGGAGGTTTGTAATACTATAGATAACTGTTAGAACCTAGAGGTTTGTAATACTATCGATAACTGTTAGAACCTAGAGGTTTGTAATACTATAGATAACTGTTAGAACCTAGAGGTTTGTAATACTATAGATAACTCTACGAACCTAGAGGTTTGTAATACTATAGATATATATTTGTGTGCATGATTTAAAACAGCCATGAAGATTTGACCTGTTGTAGCTACAGCTTCTTGTTTCGTTCTAACAGGATGAAGTTTGGTACGACAGCAACACCAGAGAGCAGCAAGTACCAATTCGAGTTACTGTTCGGGTTTACAGCGACGGGAATATTCCACGGGTATGTTTGATTTTGTACTGATAAGACAAGGCCCGATTTTGTTTGATTTCGTTAGTATTGTATTTCGATGTTCTTGACAAACAGTTATCACATATCATTCTAGTAGCTAGAAACAAAAATCTGTATTAGAACACTGATAGTGCAAGGAAGGAAGGTGTGGAGACAGAAGTTTGTAAAGAGGATACGTTGGCGTAAATAAAGAAGATGGATGGTGTGAAGAATGGAGACTGGTGGTGTGAATAATGGAGATTGGTGGTGTGAATAACGGAGACTGGTGGTGTGAAGAATGGAGACTGATGGTGTGAATAATGGAGACTGGTGGTGTGAAGAATGGAGACTGGTGGTGTGGAGAATGGAGATTGGTGGTGTGAATAATGGAGACTGGTGGTGTGAATAATGGAGACTGGTGGTGTGAATAATGGAGATTGGTGGTGTGAATAATGGAGATTGGTGGTGTGAATAATGGAGATTGGTGGTGTGAAGAATGGAGACTGGTGGTGTGAATAATTGAGACTGGTGGTGTGAATAATGGAGACTGATGGTGTGAATAATGGAGATTGGTGGTGTGAAGAATTGAGACTGATGGTGTGACTAATGGAGACTGGTGGTGTGAATAATGGAGACTGGTGGTGTGGATAATGGAGACTGATGGTGTGAATAATGGAGGCTGGTGGTGTGAATAATGGAGGCTGGTGGTGTGAATAATGGAGACTGGTGGTGTGAAGAATGGAGACTGATGGTGTGAATAATGGAGACTGGTGGTGTGAAGAATGGAGACTGATGGTGTGGAGAATGGAGACTGGTGGTGTGAAGAATGGAGACTGGTGGTGTGAAGAATGGAGACTGGTGGCGTGAAGAATGGAGACTGATGGTGTGGAGAATGGAGACTGATGGTGTGGAGAATGGAGACTGGTGGTGTGGAGAATGGAGACTGGTGGTGTGAAGAATGGAGACTGGTGATGTGAATAATGGAGACTGGTGGTGTGAATAATGGAGACTGGTGGTGTGAAGAATGGAGACTGATGGTGTAAATAATGGTGTGAAGAATGGAGACTGATGATATGGAGAAATGAGACATGGCGTGAAGAAGGGAAACTATGGCTATAGAAGAAGAGTCTGATGGCGTGTTAAAAGAGGAATAATTAACAGTGAACGAATAAGTCATCCAAGGTTATAGTTAACTTCTAACTGATACAGATATTCATACTTCGAGCAGATGATTTGTGTAACACGAGAACAGTTCACCAAACTTGAAGAAAGATCATCGCAAGACCACGGGTGTTTCTCGCCCTGAACCTTGAAAAGGGTTCTATTAAGAAGAATGGGGTTCTAGTAAGAAGAATACGTAGCAAGTGTTTGAAGTATTTTCTGTCTTACATGTTGAACATTTATTTGAAGTAGAAACTGTGGTTTGAACCTTATTTCCTGGTAAATTCGTATAGTGTTAACATAGAGGTAAAAACTGACGTGTATGATTTACATTTGTGTTAGATAACTTACAGTTGAAATGTCAACTACACGGACATTCCAGGCTAAACAAAACAGACATTTCTAGTCCATCATAATTACAGGACAAAAATAATCAATTAAAAATATATAACTTTTTGAGTTACTGTATTTATGCAAAATAATGTTGAAATCCAGAATAGATACTGTTGTTGCTAAGAGAGATGACGTTTTAAGTTATTCGTGTACAACATTGTTGTCAATCCGGTATAACTAATAGTGTTGCTAAGAGAGATGACGTTTTAAGTTATTCGTGTACCAACATTGTTGTCAATCCGGTATAACTAATAGTGTTACTAAGAGAGATAACGTTTTAAGTTATTCGTGTACAACATTGTTGTCAATCCGGTATAACTAATAGTGTTGCTAAGAGAGATAACGTTTTAAATTATTCGTGTACAACATTGTTGTCAATCCGGTATAACTAATAGTGTTACTGAGAGAGGTAACAAGGTATTTTAATATTTACAGCCGTCCGAAGTAGTAACTTTCAATGTTGCTGACTTTTCCACCGAGTTACATAGCCCGGAGAAAGTATTTGACGTTTCCAGCTGTTTTATGGACTCATCAATGTCCAAGTGGTTCCAAATTACTTTTCCAAGTATGTAATAATCTATTATTTATCATAGTGCCTGTCCAAATGCAAGTCTTCCTTGTTGTTTATATCTACCTGCTTGTCTCTCTCTGTCTGCCTGTCTCTCTCTCTCTCTTTGTATCTATCTGCCACTCTGTTTGTATCTGCCTGTATATATCTACCTGCCTATCTCTCTTTTTGTATCTATCTGCCACCCTGTTTGTATCTGCCTGTCTGCCTTCCCATCTGTTTGTATCTGTCTGTCTGTCTGTAGTTGCCTGCCTATCTGTCGGTTTGTATCTGCCTGTCTGTATCTGTCTCTGTCTGTTTGTCTCTTTGTGTTTGCCTGCCTGTCTGTCTGTATCTGTCTCTCTGTCTGCTTGTCTCTTTGTGTCTGCCTGTCTGTCTGTCTGTATCTGCCTGCTTGTTTATAATTATTTGAATGATGGTATGCCTTCCTTCCAAGGCTCCAACTTGATGTTAATAAATATGATTTTGATATCAGATTCTTTAACAAATTAACAATTTCCAATCTTGTTTCAGTGGAAGCCTACGGAATCCTGGTGTCAATGGAATTCCCAGGTAAAATCAAAGACAAATTTCTGAAAACAACGAGAACGCTCACTGGCATCTCCTCGTTACGAATTCCAAAGGTTCTGGTAAGATCTATAGCTTCTTTATCGTTTGTCTTCGTTATTATAACCACAATAAGACAATTTATGGTGAAAACTAACGGGGAAGATGTCTGGCAACGACCAGAAACTTAAAACTATGAGGTAAGGAACAACTGAAGGTCAATGAACGCAGTAAAACATTTTTTTGTTTGTTTAAGCGCAAAGCAGGACAGTGGGCAGTCTGTGCCCTGATCATCGTAGTGATAGAATCTCGAATTTTAAACTTAAAAGCCCTCAAATTTACCAATGAGCCCTCTGGTGGCACACTACTGTTACTACATATTATGTTTTTACCGAATTTATTTATTTATTGGGTCCCGAATTTGAACCTTAAAAGCCCTCAAATTTACCAATGAGCCCTCTGGTGGCACATTACTGTTACTACATATTATGTTTTTAAATATATTTATACATAAAGATTTAATATATTTGATTTTTTCTCATTAACTAACCAAATATTTTAACTTGAACTTCTTAGGTTGATTTTGATAAAGACCAGATGTACGTTTCGGCGTTGCTGTTGGAGAGACCTCCTTATTTTGTAAGTAAACAAATGTTAAAATGAGTGTTTTTTTTTCTGTTATTAAAAGTCGTTTATTTAATACGTACTTGAATGACACCATTCAGCGAGTTCTATAGTATCTTTAATGTCTGGTTTAGTCACCAGGTTGGTAAGTTGTGTAGCTGAGTTAGTGTCTGGTTAAGTCACCAGGTTGTTAACCTGCGCAGCTGGGTTAATGTCTGGTTTAGTCACCAGGTTGGTAAGTTGTGCAGCTGGGTTAATGTTTGGTTAAGTCACCAGGTTGTTAACCTGTGCAGCTGGGTTAATGTTTGGTTAAGTCACCAGGCTGGTAAGTTTTGTAGCTGAGTTAATGTCTGGTTAAGTCACCAGGTTGTTAACCTGTGCAGCTGGGTTAATGTTTGGTTAAGTCACCAGGCTGGTAAGTTTTGTAGCTGAGTTAATGTCTGGTTAATTAACTAAGTTGGTAATATCTTAAAATATTTAATTAAGACACTTACTTAATATATCGTTTCACTATTAACGACCTAGTCGTCGTAATTAAATACGTATTTTGTTCCAGACGACTTCAACGTGAATGAAAACAAACGTCTCAAAGCTCCCACTTCAACACTTGGAGTGACCACGCCTCAGGACTGTGCCAAGAGTTGTCTAGAAAGCATTGAAATTTGTTGGTATGTCTGTTTCACGTCTTATCCACGAGCTTCCAAAGGGATTTGTTGGTATGTCTGTTTCACGTCTTATCCATGAGCTTCCAAAGGGCTTTGTTGGTATGTCTATTTCACGTTCTTATCCACGTATTTCCAAAGGGCTTTGTTGGTATGTCTGTTTCACGTCTTATCCACGTATTTCCAAAGGGCTTTGTTGGTATGTCTGTTTCACATCTTATCCATGTGTTTCCAAAGGGTTTGTTGGTATGTCTGTTTCACGTCTTATCCATGTGCTTCCAAAGGGTTTTGTTGGTATGTCTGTTTCACGTCTTATCCATGTGTTTCCAAAGGGCTTTGTTGGTATGTCTGTTTCACGTCTTATCCACGTGTTTCCAAAGGGCTTTGTTGGTATGTCTGTTTCACATCTTATCCACGTGCTTCCAAAGGGCTTTGTTGGTATGTCTGTTTCACATCTTATCCACGTGCTTCCAAAGGGCTTTGTTGGTATGTCTGTTTCACGTCTTATCCACGTGTTTCCAAAGGACTCTGCTTAACCTATGGACATACAGCCTGGATATCTGCTTCTCTGACCTTCTACTCTCGTCTCCAGGTTTTGGAGCGCCATGTCCTCCGGCTTGCCTTTGGCGTCAAACTTCCTAGTCTCACTTCTGACCTTTATCGCCGTATCAACTTTCCTCACATTCTATTACATCTTCGACAGCTTCGCACTCGCTATGTTAGTAAATGTTTTCGTGATCACTGTACCCACTCCGAGAAGCATTTTGTCACCAGCTGATCACCTACTGAACCTCTATGTCATGTCCCTCCCAGCAGACAATCCCGACCACATTGAGATGCCGATGTCCCCTCTTCCCCCATTTATCTATC